AGACAGACGTTGAACCATGAAAACTGCCATCCCCTGAAGGTGCGACCTGCTCCGGCTTCGGGTGCTTTCCTTTGACCCGCTGCAAGGAGATCAGAAGCTCGTTTTGCCTTGCATGTTGCTGCACACATGCTCCATCAGTCCAAACAGCCCAGAACTTGACAGTACCCCCGAAAAAGGCGGGGCGATTCCTAGCATGTGCGAAGCCATGTAGCATCCTTCTTGACGGTGAAGAGCACATCAGCGAGGCGCTTGAGAAGGGCTGCTGCCAGTATGGCTTCGTCGCTGTGCGGCGGCGCTGCCTCGCAACAAAGAGATCTCGTCTGCCCGTCAGTTTTGAAAGCCCACCAGCACAGAATGCAGAAGACCTTCAGGAATTTGATGACCTTCCCGCGAACTGATTTGAAGACTTCCTGCCACCAACACTGCAGCCCATTCAGCACGTAAAATGTCTCTGCACGTCAACTTAAAATCACCAGAGCCCTCTACCACCACCCAATGAAGCTTAAGCACAATCAAAGCGCCAGCTCCGAAAACAGACCAGGCGGCAGCAAAGCCCGCTCCCGGTACAGAACCGTCCAGCACCCTAACAACTCTTCCAGCTGTTGTCCACCAGCGCTCCCTCCACTGATGGCACCATCCCGCACAGTGTCTGCCCTCGCCATCCTGCAGCCCACAGCCCCATCCAACACCGGCCGCCCGGCAAAGCCGGCCACCGTACTCTGCAGGAATCCTAACCAGAGCCAAAGCCAACATCAAAGATGCTTCTGGGAAACCCCAGAGAGCGCTCTGGCCAGGGCATGATATCGATGTTCCAGTATCCTAGGACATGTATCATGACTGGACTTTTGGCACTTTTAGAAAAAACAAGCTTGGTCTGCAGCAGCGCTGTGACAGCCGGTGCACCTTTGCGTCCGCAGACACTTGCCAATAGGGAGTCAAGTGTCCTCGGAGGCAATTCTTGGCAGTTGTACCCCCCTGCGCTCTGATGCACTCTTGCCTCCAAGTCGCTGAGGAAGCCAACCGGGAACCCATCGGTCAGGTCCTCTGCTTGCTTGAAGAGTTCCTTGCGGAGCCCGTACTTCCCACTTGGTCGACTCCCATGTGCTGCTCACAGGCTTGCTTTTTCGAAGACATTGCTGCTTACCTCAAATGGATCCAATCGAAACACGAAACTCTGCTCCGTAAAAAGCTCCAATTGTAGCAGTGGCATGCAAGGAGTCCTTGTACCGAGCTGGCTGCTTCTTGAAACTTAGCCTTGGTGACTGATCTTGTTGGAGGATTGCCTCTACTAAGTCTATCTCTCCCATCAAGCCGCTTCTCAGCGCTGATAAAGTTCTTTGACAAGCACCAGTAGTCGAAGCCGTGCTCGCAAATCTGGGTTGAAGAAGTCGTGCGCTGCCAGGCCACGCCAAGTGTCCTCAGCTTCTGGAAGTGTGGCTAGACGCGGCGTTGGCAGTACGTGCTCCAGCCAGCTATTTTGAATGAATCCAAGCCTCGACTCAACATTGATTGTGGCGTGTGACCAGCCGTCCGGCACAAAAATTGCATCCCCGGCAGTCTGCACACATGTAAGTGGCCGTTGATCCAATTGCGGCAATATGTTCTCCTCAAATGATGAGACTGGCCGGTACAGCTCACGGGCTGTTGCGTTTGGGAAATGTCCAGGAGCATGCATGTACCAGCCTTAGATAGATCCAGAACAGCAACATCGGATTTTCGCCCAAAAGCACCGCTCCTCCTGTCTCCTGATGAAATTGTGGACTCAGTGACGCTTCTTGCCGCGCAAGAGCAAGAGGAAGGCGGGGCCGTGTGAGTGGAACTGAGTTCCAGCAAGAGGCCCGCCCATTGTCAGAAACTTGTCTGCCGCGGCCATATTGAGCCATTCCTAACTTGGAGGACTTCATCTGCTGCAGCATTTTGCATATGCTACTAACTGGCCCTAATTGGAGCACAGCGGCTGGAATGCGCGCCAGCTCCTTGGCCGAGGTGTTCTGAAAGAACTGATTGTCAAAGACATACAGCTTCTGCCTAGACAGGCTTCTCTCCCGGGTACAAACCTTGAGTTGCTTGCTCTGGATAATTAGGACCCTGCTTCTCATCGCCCAATTTGGTGACTATGTGCCTGCCAAGAGGAACGTGCCGTGAAGGCTTCCATGTTTGCTTGGAACTTGCCTGAGGGAATGCAAGCGCGACGTCTGGCCATCGAGCAACGCCGCCTGGGCCGGACTGAAGACCTTCAGACGCCTGAGCTACACATTACATATCCGAAACTCCCCAAATCAAGCAAGGAAAGCAGCAGAAATGCGCGTGCTTATAATCTAGTTCAGCGCGTCCACTGCGCGGACGCTTGGCTGTGAGTCAGGTTCGCAGCGCATCTGGTCAAATCAGTGAGCCTGCTGAGACTGTGGCAGGACGCGAGTTTCTTGCCAAGCGGCGTTGATCCGAACCGCGATGTTAAGCCCTGTAGGCTTTGCTGGGTCAGGAGAAACTGCAACAGTGTAAGTATGCCAAGCCTGGTAGCTGAACGCATCCAAATCCCACCCGGCAGAGCTGACTGCCCCCTGTATCACCTCGGTCTCACTCCTCTAACAACCAGGCTACGTGATAGCACCCTTCCTTTGAAGGCATGGACCGCAGGTTTGGTTCCTTTCCAAACGGTCGCCGTGCCAGGGACCAGAACTTCTAGCACCTCACCTGGACAGCATGCACTGGCATGCTTTATGGAACAGAATCATGCCAAGCATGTCAGCGGCAAGAAGAACCAGCAAGCTTCCGGTGCAGCTGATCTGCTGCATGGCTTGTCTTCGTCAGCAGACTTGGAGCCTGAGCCACGCCAAGCCAGGCTCCTTGTTGGCAGTTACTGCTGAATCCAAGGTGCTTGAGCATGCGCCCTCCGCTATGCAAACGTCTGCGGCCGGCAGCAGCGGCAGCAGACATGCAACAGCCAGGGAGTGCAATGCACCCATCAGCCAAGTCTATTTGTGTAACAATTGCTGCAAATACCGGGGCGTTAGCTGCAACTAGCACAGCATTTGTTGATATCTGTTGATGCTTCTTCTGCGCAGATCATGTTTGAACCTCTCACCTCTCACTGAAGGCGGCAATTCCAATGGCGGAAAGAGGTTCGCATGTCGTGGACATGCACAAGAGTGCCGCAGATCTATACCGGGATGCAGATCTGGGTGCATGACCCAAGTTCTCCTGTGAACCTCTGGCCTGGGCACCAAATGTCATGTGGCAATGCAGGCATGACCGCGTAAAATCCTTGGGACGCTCACTCACGAAGTGCCCAGCTTCCTGCCACCGTCGGTGTCCTTTTGCGTGCTCCAGCTATAATCTTTCAAGCCACGTTCAGCCTGCACGCCAGGGCCTCAAAAATCTAAGGGACGCTAGCACGGAGGACCTGAGAGAGGCATGCAGTTGCGGCTTGGTGATTTTCACATTTTGCTGGCTGAGCACTGGACCACAACTCCACTCTGCCCGAGGTGGCCAGGGGTATGTAGTCTTCATGGGTCTTCAGAAAGCTGGGGTGCCATGCCCTGTGGGCAATGAAATGCCCCTGGGTAGCTGTGCCCAGGTGTGAAATCACCGAGGCTAAAGCATAGGCCGGCAGAATCTTGTCCAGGTTGAAAACAGCCGGACTCCGAACAGGGTTTGTCAATCTCATCAGACCCCATGGACCATGTATCAAACGTCGCATATGCAGCGTCAGAATTGCCGGAGCCGTCTGTATCCTGAAGGATCGAACATGAGTCGTACGGCACATGACAGGCTCCGGAGAACCGGCCGGGCAGATTAGACCTATGTGCTCGACATCAAGAATTGCGGGCCCACAGGCTGCCAAGCGCCTGTATGCTTCTTGTGCTGACAACGAGCCTCCAAGGCCTTCTTGTAAACATCTGCGCTGCGACGCGCGCGCGGAGCAGCGACTGCATAGCAAGCCCTCGATCTCCTCTGTGGCTTTGCCGCCATAGCAAGACTGCACAGTGCTGACCAAATCAACAGGCGCGAACGTGAGCTGGTTGCCTTGCAGCATGTCCAGAGACAGGCAGCGAAATGCCTGCCTCGATGGGCAAGCGTCGACCTTCACGAGCCCGCAGATGCAGCAAACTCGTCTTTCCTCAATCAAACAGGACTGTTATCATGAAAGCAGCTGTTTGAACTTTACACTGTATATCAATTTGCAAGGGCATGGGTAGAAGATGGTGCAAGCGTATCAGAGGTGTGCGTCCTCCATGGTGCCCTGCCATAGCTCCTGAAACCAGCGACAGGCGGCAGCGGCCTTTGCCCATGCAGCGGTCCGGACCAGCCAGGGTCGCAATGGGTCCCAAGTGGGCCGCTGCAGATCTTGGACAGCCCGGAGCTGCCTTTTGAGGAGCCCAGCTTGCATTGCTTCCAATAATTGCACCAAGGCTTCGTGGGCATCCTGTTGTTCGCCACAGGTAGAGGAAAGACCGCATTCCTGGTCAATCGCTGCTGCCAAGTTGCAGATGATTTGGTTTGCATAATCCGCATCCAGAGATATCGCACGATTTATGTACAGAAGCACCGAGGCCAAGCAAGCCAGCAAATCTTTCGGCACCTCGCCTCCGCAGCTGCTTTGCGAAGTTTCAGGAGAGACGGATCGCAAGATGTTCCACCACCTGGGATCGTTGACACTCGCGAGGCCTTGCAGCACGGCGTTGAACCAGCACCATTGGCCAGGGTTGGCCAGGGCCCTGGGCAGCACGCAGCCGGCCAACGCCATGCGACATGGAGAGCGCCCCCATGCGAAATCAGTACATTGGATGTTGAGAAACTTTGCCGTTTGGAGCGTAGAGTTGATAATGCGCGAAACGCTTATGGATGCTTGGGGTGAAGTGCTATCAGCCATCCGCATTTGGCTTGTCTGAACAAACTGTCCTTGGCCCGACTTGCATTCGACAACACGTATACGCCCAGGCAGCTCATGCATTGGTGTGGTGGGTGTATTCCGTGCATTTTCGCTCTTCTCCCAGCTCCGACTCTCCTTCAGATTCAGGGCTCCAAGAACCTCCAGACCTCATCGCTGAGCTTCGAATATGAACATGGCAGTGCTCTGATGTTGAGTTCTGGACTTGCAATCAGCATGGTCGGTCGCATCCCCCTCTAGTTCTTGATCTTGGGTGTCCTGCACCTTGCAGTAGGAATTTGTGCGGAGCGCAGAGTTTCGAGCTTCAACAACTTCATGTAACACCCCATCAGAAGCAATGTCACATGCCTCGGGATCCTCGGAAGCGGCTTCTGGCCTGAAGGCGATGAATTGGAAGATCCGAAACGGAAGTAGTCTTGAAGCCTTTACCGCCTTGTACACACATGTACACGCAAAAGGAGCTGGCTCAAGGTCGGGCAGTGGAAGCGTCTCTGCCGGCAACGGTGCCAAGTTCTGGAGACCTTGCCAAGACGGCTTCCAGCTCAACCCTGTGGATATCTGGAGATTGCATGAGATTGCACAGGCTGCGCAGTACCTTCTTAGCAACGTCAGGTGGAGGAATGCTGCAAGGCACAGTTTTGCGACAGGAAGCATGACACTGACAAGTTCAGCTCACTGGAAATCCTGAACGGGTTGGCATCTCAGAAGGCAGCTCCGGTGTTCCATGTAGAGCGCTTCTGATGGATTGCAGCTGCAGTTGCCAGTACACCACAAACCAGAGCGCTCCAGATGCCACGGCTAGAACAGCAACGGTCAAGAAGGGAGCCTTAGCATTAGCTGCATTGAGAGCAATACTACGCCCTTGGTGCTGAAGTCATGCTTTGGAAGTTTTGCGAGCTGGATGCAAACGCATGACACCCCTTTAACGATGTCAACTTGAGCCCTGATCTAGAAAGGGCCCAAAGATGCTCATCTCAAAGCAGAAACGTGGCTCCTCTGCTATGCTCGTCCTTGGGTTCCCAGAAACCGAGCTGCTATGGCTGAAGTTATGATACAAGCTCCTATCTCCTGGTCTATAGACCAGGATGCACAGCCTCCCAGAGCATCTAAGCAAAGAGCTGTCTTGAGCATCAAGCTCGGTGCTTTTGCAAGATTTCTTTAATTCCTGAGAGGCCCACAACAGCATTTCTGAATATCATTGGAAGGCATGGCATCGGAATGCGCTGGGCAGATCCCGTGACCATTTGACAAGGTCCTGCCTTGTGGCCGCATGCCTAGCTCGGCGCTTTCAAGGTTAAAGGCAGCAGAAGGAATTTGGTTGAGGCAAATTAAATTTCTGATGAGAAGGCGTTTATAAATAGCCACAAATAGGAAGGAATTGGAAGCAAAGCATGAAGTTGGGCAACTGGGCGGAGTGGGTAGGAGCTGATGGGAACTGATTCAGGAGCTCTTTTTGAACAGTTTCCGCGGTTTGTTTTCCGCGTTTAGGTGTCCCAAATGCTTTAGCAAGCGCAGCATTGCAATCTCGTCCTGAGAGGTGCTTTAGCCCAACTATCCCCACCCAACCCCCCCATCACTGAGGCCGCGCGAGTCGCAGCTACATCGATCGAGCATCTTTAACGTTCCGAATTCGCTTTGCCAGTTATGTGCGCAACACTCACCCAACCACATGAGGAGCCTCCACCTGAAGGGCTTCAACCTCATCGCCCAGACCAGCAGGTGTGCTGGTGCTCTGCGCGGTCTTCCTAGATTCGCCCTGTGAACCAAGACTTGGACAGTTGAACCAGGTTTACCCCTGCATCCTGTGGAAGATGTTGCCACTTCAGTAGGAAAAAGACCAGATCTGAGATTCAGGTTTGTGGCTTGCAATGCTTCATCCGGCCAGCTTTTCCGCTCGAACACCCACACACGAAGCCTAAGCTTCTTGCAGGTGTGCAGCCGAGTGAGAAACTTTCTCATACATCGTTGTGAACGGCAAAGTATCCAGTACCCGTGCAGCCGCTTGGAAAGTGGAGAGGGTGCCCAGTGCGATGCCTTAGGCTGCTCTCAAGATTCAATCAACGGCGAAATTAAGCGCCTTTGACTGGAACCTACAGCCCTCTCAGCTGCAACCATGGCTCCGTAAGCAGACTTGCCGACAACCTCTCACAGGGATGACTGCCCAGCAAGGTGGGAATTGGTTGATTTCCTAGGCTCTGTGACCAAACTTACAGTAGCCACAGAAACCTGTGACTTGTTCCACAGAAGGCAGGCTCTTGAGCCCAAGGCCTCCGTTAGCAGAGCTGAGAGGTTCGGTCCGGCCAGGCTATCGCCCATCACGACTGTGAGCTGCGCCCCAAGGAACCACCACCTCATTCTCATTCTCTGCCCAGTCTGGGGCAGCCCGCGAAGCACCCAACAACCATTCAAAACACGTTTCAGAACTCAGTGGCTTTGTAGGTGCCAAGGCGAGGCCAGAATATCCGATAATACGGAGGAAGACTCCTCAGCAGCAGAATGCTCATCTACACGCCACCTGCTATTGTCTTCTTACCTCTGGGCATCACGCCTAAAAGCATCGTCCTTTGTTGTCTCAGCGTGTGCCTTGGATTCCACGTCCACAGAGCAAGACTGTAAAGACACTTGCCCTATGAAATGCAGGCTCAATGTGTGAAATCTGTGCCAACCAGCTGACATCAACACCGGAAACACAAAGTTGGTGATGACGATCACAAGCACGCCGGATATCATCATGTTCCATGCAAAGAATCTGGTGCTCTCCGCCGCTGCCGATGAAGAGCCCCTGAAGTAGGAGTCCATCACAAACCTTGCGGAGGAAACGCTGCGCTCAAATCTTAAGCTACACACTCACCATGTCATCTGAACGAGGTCATGCTGCAGGGCTCCGCAAGACTCCGCGGCAGCGATGCCAGCATTTCCCAGAAATGAGCCCCAGAAAAGCGGCCAAGCCAGCCTGCGCATTTTGGCAGGGTCGTGCTCATTGCGCAGCTTCGAAGTCAGCTGCTCTCCAGCCTCGGGAGAGATTCGAGCCTCAGGGAGGGGTTCTGTAACAGGATGACAGAAATGCCAGCCAGGTCTAAGAAGAAGAATCCGCACCGAGGGGCGCGGAGCGACTTTCCTCTTTGGGCTGTCTTCTCAGCAGCACATTCCTCAAGCTAAAAACACTGCGCTCCACGCCACACAAGCCAGGACTTCGAGGTCTGATTGCATGGCCGAGGCACTCAGACTCCGCCAGGGAACTGAAGACAAACATCCAGTTCACGAGGCCTGCTGATCGTAGCTGCGAGCCGTTCTCTACGAGTTAGACTAGTCAACTAGTGGCAGACCATGGCAGACCGCAAGCATCCGCAAGCCAGGGCGCTCAAAACAGCGCAAAGTCGCACGGCCGCTGAGAAGCCCTCGTGGCTGAGTCCCTGCAGTGTACAGATTAAGTTCTCAGAAAGGGCGGAGCTAGCAGAGACCCACAGTCTGATGAAAAGATTCTCAGGCATGGGCTGCACCAACAACAGGGCCCAGCATGAGACCCATGGCGATGCTGCCTGGGCTCGGTGCTCGTTGCGTGATGCCAGCTATTTGCAGACAGCTTATGCGTAGAGCCGGGGTGGAGGGAGATCAGGCTGGCTTTCAACTGCATGAGGCATTGATCCCTATAAGGAGTTCCAGACAAATTTCAAGGCGAGGTGCCCGAACTGTATGCCAATCGAACAGGGCGGTCCTGACAGTTCTCACAGGGAGTAGGACTCACAAGTGCAGGACTGTGTGCAATGGCAGGGAAATGCAGGAAACCCTTTTCACGGGTTCACAGCTGCACCACCAAAGCTTTCAACGTCTGCTTTGCAGAGTCTATGCTGTCACGGGAGGCGTGACTCAGTGAATCAGAGTTTGTTTCCAAATCTTGTAGATGTAGAGCACGCAGTAGCATGCATGAGCCGCCTCGACCACCAGCGCTGCTGCGTCCTCGGTTTCGCCATGCTGGATGTCAACGAATTCTCCAGCAGCATGCTGGATGAAAATCCATCCGCAAATCGCTGCTGCACAGATGCATACGAAATCGAGGAACCTGCTCACCATCCTGAACTTCTTGCTGCCCTGATCAGCAAGGGCAAGGTTGAAAAGAAGGTTGGCCGGCCAGTACCGATCCGTAATCTGGCTTTTCAGAACCTTCATCCGCTTTTTGCCCACTAGGACAGATCCGCCGTCTTCCACATCCTGCGATGTTTTGATCAACTGCTGGTAGACAGCACGAGTGTTAGCCTCGGCAGCTTCTTCATCCTCTGACAGAGGAACTTCTATGTGCTTCGCTGCAAGTGCAATTAACTCTTCCTGCACCAAGACCAAGCTGGCCAACCTTCGCTGGGCCGCTTGAGATCCCTCAGGAGAAGTGGCATGGAGGTATCTGCTCAGGGGCACCAAGTAGTAGGTTGGCTCATGGGTGAAGTAGATGGACAGGATGAAGGTTGTCATTGGCAAGACCAAGTAGATCAGCCACTGTCGGAGTTTCTCAAAGTTGCTCATCAAGGGGCTTGGCTCTGTCCAGAAACGCTCATCTCTGCCTGGCGTTAAGGAATCCAACAGCCAGTTCGATGCGCCCTGCACAAAGCAGAAGGTCAAAATGTAGAAGACTGGTTCACGGACAGCTTTGTACTCCTTAAATTGAAGCACAGCACCATGGCGGAGCAGCTCGTAGTACATGCGCTGAATCAGGATCATGCTCCGTGCCAAACTCATGGAGATCAGAATTGCAACCAGCGGAAAGAATCTTGTGTACGCCTTCGTGTATTCACAAGCCCAGAGCTGCCATACATTCAAAACATCATGATCGCACGTCATGATGTAATGCCTCCTGAAGAATACCTGGTAAGCAACAACAGCCATTGACAGCACCTGATAGCCGACCAAACCTACTGTGTTGAACAGGATCATCCATGGGCTCGCGTACCTTACTGGTTTGGTAGGGAATGTGGAGATATATCACATACATACATACATACATACATACATACAGACAGACAGACAGACAGACATACATACAAAATATTATGTAAAAAAAAGGTTTAGGGTCTAGGGTTAGTAGGAAATGAGAGAATATGTTTTAATATTGAGATGTATATTATAGGGCAAGATTCCCATATTCCCTACTAACAACCAGTAAGGTACTCTGCCTCCCAAATCATCATCTTTTGGCTCTCATCCACCGACCCATACGAGTCGCAATGCACCTCATCTGAGAAAGGCTTTGCCTCAGGAGGTCGATCTTCAGTGCTCGACATGTCACTTGTCTGAGTTTCCAGTGGGCAGTGGGCAGGATACGAAAATTCATCAAACGTCGAGAAAATGGCCTGAAGCTAACGCGCTTGAGCCACAGGAGCACATGTGGCGGGTCACTTCCAAACGTAGGCATTGACACGCCAGCCCATTGCAATCAAGGAGCCTTCCTTGGATCAACAAGCTACTCGGGCATCCCGCTGAACAGAGCTGCTATCAACCCACAAAGCCTTACGTGTTGCAAGTACCGGGGTCCTCTTCGGACGAATTCTGTGCGATGTAGGCATTGCATACACCTCAGGCAGCCAGAAAGTCCAACACAAGTAAAACAGTACAAGAGGAGGTCCCCCAATGCAGCCCAATGAAGCCACGAAAATAGTACAAAGTACCATTGTGGATGCAGTACTATCATACCCTCGCTGGAAGACAAGATTAGATTGCTTCTCTCTCCTGGTTCTGGGCCCCACATAGCAGCTAGGAAGCCCCACCTATGGTTCCGCATGATGCTCCAGCCAATGTGTAGCCGACCAGGAGGATTGTAAAACTCTCTGCAACACTGAGGATGAGGTAAGCCTCGCTTCCAGGCAAATATCCAGCTGGAAAAGAACATAGAAAAACGTGGAAAATGGAACCTAACTAATTCTGTAGCAGTTGATAGCCGCAGCCAATTGGACTTGGGAAGACTTGGGGAGATGGGATAATGTATTCAACACGTACGACTGACTATGCAGCCATCCGAGGTTCCAGTGACTCAGCAGCCAAAGCCCCAAGAAGTACCTGATCAATGAGGTCATCATCTGGCAGCAGATTACCCCACCAAGCGAAGGAGCCAGCTTTTGAAATGCCTTCTACCAAGTTACAGGACGTCGCCCAAAGCGATCTGAAAGGTATCCTAAGAAGGGCGTGTTGAGAGCCTGCGCCAAGGAGAAGGCAGCCTTAGCTAAGCACTGCATCCGTTGAGGCCGTGGATCAACAGAGCTGTCCAAGGATCATAGAGCTAAAGGGTGAAAGGGGCCATGCAGCCAAACGCAAGGCACCTATAGAACCGTAACGCATGCTCAAATCTGCTCCATTCTCCAAGGAGCTAGTGCAGTTCCCATGTCATGGACCTGCAGCGAGAAGGTCTGGCAAACAACCGGGACGAATGGCGCATAGACGCCGAAGCCAAAAGCATCCATAAACACCTCAAGCGAAAAACTGAAAATCAGCTCATGCTCAGAACGCTGAATCAATGCATCCGAGTGAAGGCAGTCTGCGGAGTGGACTCTAATTCTTGTTTTGCAGAGGTGCTACAGTGTAGCAGACCAGCAGCGACTGCTCTTTCACTTCCTCGCTCTCGTCCTCCTCTTCAGGCACTTCCGAATACCTTGGTGCCCAGGAACTTTCATGGCGCAGGTCTTGTTCAACGTCTTATCATGGACCTTCATGCGAGACTGGATGTTCCTGACCGGATACGGCGCCGTGATGAATGGCTTTGCACCACATAGGCAGAGCAGCCCGAAGGTGCAGCTTGACAACAGGAAGAGGGCCGCACTGGTCTTCGGTCCGAACATTACGCCGCCCTCGGCTTCGCTTCTGAAGCTTATCTCCGAAAGAAGGGCCACGTTGTCCAGAGCCTTCGACTCTGATGCATGGAAGCCCTCCGATACGAGGGATCCGTTCAAAGCAGTTTGCAGAATGCCGCGTGAGAGCTTGAGATCAACTTGGAGGAGCAGGATGTCCTCCTCAGAATCAAAGGTAGAGGCGTCCAGGTCGCCCTCGACCCCAACATCCAGATCAAGCTCCTGTGAGCTCGCCAAAAGAAAATAGGCCGTGAGGAAGCGACAGAGCATCCCTCAAGCTTACTTGCGAGACCAGTCAGCACACATTCCAAATTCAGTGGGGTTTCTAGCAATGGAAAGGTTCGATACCGTCTGAGCCAATGGCCACAGCATCATTGAGCAAAATCAACAAATCCCAAGCAGGGCAAAGGTTCCGCCTTTGTTCACTGAGGGAACCACCTGAGCCAGGCCCTTCCGCGTCGGTCTGGGCTCCTCCAGCATGACTGCAAGCATGGCTTTGCACGGCCCATGTTCAGAGGGGGGGGCTGAACACTCACCGGATGATGCCCGGAAGCTAGCAGATGCAAGCTTTCTACAACGGTGCGCCGGGTATCCTGGAGGGCTGCTGTAGCTGCGGGAGGATGTCTGGATGCTTCCATCTGAAGCTCGGTGTGAAAATTGAGAAGCCCAGAGTCACCCAAGACATCCGACCCGTGACCTTCAATCGTTTCTCCTTTCGAACGAAACATGGAACTGATGGCTTCTGGCCAGACCTCCTGGCCACCTCTCAAAGCCATGTGCAATGGCATCAGTATCAGCACCCTTCTGTGCATTCCCATAATTGGAGGTCTCGTGTGCTGCCTCATTGGCCCGTAAGGCCACTGGGCGGCAGTTGGGTCGTTTGTGGTGGACGCACGGCCATGTTATCGCACCACATGAGAGCGGTCTGGCCAAGGTGCACATGCTAGCCATGAAGTTTTTTTCCTGAACCCCCACAAGGCTCAAGTGGCTTTTGTGGGTTGTGGCTGGAACTTCAGTCGAGATGCCTCGCGGTACAGATTAGCCATTGTATGCCACCGTCATTTCCTGCAGTCGGGCGCAGCGTTGCTGCACAGGGGGGTGGCTTAGGTGTGACGTATAACATGGCTATTCGGAGCAAGATATGCCCCCAACTAACACCGACACAAACGAGCACGGTGACCCATGAACGCTGTGGCGCGTATCTGTTGGAAGGAAGTGCCACTTGTTGGAACCGATGTTCAGATGAGAAAGCTTCATACAGGCACTTGTCCTTCAACGTTTGGCTCTGCAGCACCTTGCTCCGAGATGCCAAGCTTACAAGCCAAACTTCCAGTGAAAGCCGCTGGGCAATCCTGAGCGTGCTGCTCCGCTGAGAGGCCACATCCTCACGATGGGGGGCCCAGGCCTGTGTCAGCGAGGCACAATCAGCGAGGCACAGTAGTATCACTGGCATTGCAGCTGGATGCTTTGCTGCTGGACTCATCTGGAACGAAATCCTTTTGCCACTGTCGCAAAGACGCCACGGTCTGGAGTGACTCTGTCTAGCGCGCGCTTGAACAGGGTCCTCAAGAGATGTCTAGCGCAAGGTCCTTCCAGAAGTGAGTCTCTGGAAGGATTCTTTTTCTTTGCTGAGACTCATTTGCAGCCTCACTTCTGGAACAACTAAGCCTAAAGAAAACTTCATACTGCTTGAACTAATCGCGAGGGCGAAAGCCTGTCCAGGACATCTGTCGCCAGCATTTCTTAGGCGGTGCCCCTTTGCCTGCTGCCTTCATGTCATGCTGTCCCTATCTTCAACCGCCAGCCTTGTTCTTGTCTGCTTAACGCTTGAGAGCCGCCAGCATGTCAGGTGCGAACCTAAGCTATTCTCGACGCACCTAAATTCAGGCGCTTAACATCGCTTTAGGCTTCGCCAACGCGTAAGTCACTGACGAGTCATCGCCCATTGCAATCTTGGTAATCTTGCCATCCTGAGCTTCTTGGCATGTAATGAAATCTGGGAACCCGACAGGCTCCCAGCATCCACGATCATGGCGTACCGCTGCGACCTGCCAAGCAGGTATGCCATGGTCAAGGCGACCTGCCTCCAAATTATGCAGCAGCCTGACATTGCCAAGCTTTGCTGTAGCATCCAACTCCATGTCCAGAGCCTGAAAACACAATGATTTGACCCTAACTGGCCTGGCTCCCATCGATGGGGATGAAAGAATGACTGAAGAACAGGTATGGTTGCAAACTGTTAAACTGCTGCGCTATCTAATGCTATCTATGGTGTTTGCTTTGTGCTTCAGCAACTGGTTCATTGGTTAGAGAAGCTTACCTCCAAGGAAGGTCTGAACGTTTTGCCCGTCCTTCGTCAGCTCACATTTGGTGTCAGCCAGCATCGTAACCTTGCCCTCGGCCTGGATGGAATCTTCCGGCTTCCGGCTTTGCATCCACGACATCATCAGTTCATCAACCACTGAAGTAACATACCGCCCCTTATTCTGCAATCACTACTATATACTACTATCCAGCAGAGTCCTAACAAGTCTGTGTCACCGACCTCCTGCTGCTTGCCCCAAGAGCTCATGACAAACGGATCGTTCACGGCTACACAGGCAATGACCTCCCATAAGGCAAGGAATGAAGCCGGCCCTACGGATTGGCAAAGTGGAAAATGCTCTTTGCAAGCAGAGTCTGTCCAGGTTAGAGCAGCTGCGAATGGCCTCAGCTCCTGCTGCCTTCAACTCTTCTGACTGCTCAATGTATCCAGGCCTTGGCTGTCATTTGCTTTTATCGGAAGGCATTGGTCCTGTTCTGCACTCTCATCCAAACGCTTCGATCCAACGGTGCAAGCTCCTGAGCCTCGAGCAGATGCTTCTCCGAGCAAGTTGGCCTGTCATGAGCTATTGACCTCTGCATATTCCTTCACCTTGCTTGGCCCAGGTGAAGGCATCATCCATGATTTCAAGACAACAGCAGCGCTGGAACATCGCATCCAATCACAAGCCGGATTCGCGTGAAGGCGCCTGGAACTGCGAAGAGAACGCCCTTCTTGCCTCCATGCCAAGATCTGTGACCCAATTTGTTCCTCCCTCGCACTGATCCCGCACTGGAATTCTGGAGAGTCAGACCCGACCAACAGCTTCTAGAAATCACGGAAGGCAATTTGGCTATAGAAACAATGTGGCAAAATACTTGCAAAAGCGGGTGCTCTGCATAGCTGCAGACTAGTGCCTTTAAAGAGCTCGGCAACGTTCACGGTATCTCCAGGCCTGCATGCGCAGCGAAGAAGGGCGGCATGTTCGCAGAAATGGGAACAAAATGGCGGCAGACATCTCTAGCAATATCACCGCGCAGACTGACACCACAATAGCAGATAAGGGGCTGCTCTTTAGAAGCAGGATTGTGAAACCTTTCGTTGACTTGTCTCAGAGGAAAGCCCAACGATTGAAACCTGTCCACAAGTTTCTGTTCACCCTCGTGTTTTCAACGGGGCACCTGCCAACGGACACGAACAGTTTGATTCTACCGCTGCTCTACCAGACTGGGTTTGTTGCTGGCCACGTGTGCGTCTTCAAGGATTGCCCCATCTGGGCTGACAGGACCCTTGAAAGCAGCGCAAAACGCTTCGGGGTTTCCTATGGCGTGCCAGGCCAACTGGCCCAAGTTTGTGTAAAGGTTGTCCAAAGCATGCAAAGAAAGCCCCAAAAAGGTCCAACACTTCCCGGTTCCTGGAAGCCCTGCGAACCAGACAAGCCAGATTCTGATGTCATGCCATTCTGCCACTCTAACAGCCTGACAACGACGGATCCTCCCATTATTCTGATTTCGTAGATGAGTGTGAGCGATGGAATTTGAGAAGAAGTGATGTCGCTGTTCAAGTTGACTTTGACATGGCCGCGAATCATGCGGCCAAGCTACTTGCTGATGTCCACGTCAACTGATGGCAGCGCATCACCCTCACTGACCTGCAACGGCGGAGTTGGCTTTAGCATCTCAGCTTGAGTAGGCCAACCAAGGACATTCAAAAACATTCAGAATGACGGGCCTTCCTCGCCACCACAATCCGGCACTGAGGTCCTGCAAGTGATGCAGCTGCCAAGCTTTTGAGAAGATTTCGAGGGTGGCAAGCGCTCTCTGCCTGAAGACGCGCGTTTGCCTGTCATACCGGTAAAGGCAGTGGATCCGAAGAGCGTCCTGCCAGTCCCGAAGGCTCAGTGACTAAGCCCAATCTCCACATGGTCGTATACATCAAGAAGGAACAAGACTGCTGCCAAGCTTGGTTGCTCGGTCCTACACTCAGGCACGGAATAGCATTTCAACTGTGAGACTTCCCCGCAGCTTATGACGTCCAGAACCATTATAGATCTGTTGTGAGCGTGGACGTGCTTCTCTGTGGCAGAATTCCACAGTTTACACTTTAATCGATTATACTGGGCCGAGCCAGGCAGTGCTTTACGATGCAATGCTGGTTACAATGTATATGGAAAGTCCAGGAAGCACAAAAGTCTGCTCTGCTTGTCTCAGCGAATCTCCTCACCAGAGCCAGAGCTCCCACGAGGAGCAGCGCGCGGCCAAATGCACTTCGCCGGGTCATCCTCTGTGTGGCGATACTGACAAAAAGCTTTAAGTCAGAGCCGTCGCTGAACCGCTGCCGGCTGCCCTTGCAGAAAACACCAGTCCCTTGCAATCCGCTGGGCCTGGAGGACAGGGTAGGCTAGACTCTGAACCAGCTGGAAAGCAAAGGCTGCGGGGTGCACTGCACGTTTTGGTCGTTCGTCCTAATGTTTGTGGTTGTCTCGTGCTCTCCTGCAAGCATCTGTTGCAACATGCCTGCCATCTGTCCCAACTCCATCCCCAGTTGCCTCAAGACACACGCTTTTCAAAGTAGCGTTAGCAATGACAAAATCTGGCAAGAAGCCGCAGGGCTGTAGGCCGCCCGAGACAAGAAGTTGATTAGTGAATCCCAACTGCGTGGTTACGTGGCATGTTTCTAAGCGATCGACCCCATTCGCGATCGGCCCAGTCGCTCCAGGCTCGGTCCGCCCAGTCCCAGTCGGCCCAGTCCCAAGCTGACGAGTGGGACCACCTTGCAAGCTCTTTGTATCATGCAATAACGCAATCATTTCAACTTGTACACCGGAACAGGTCGCTGGCCAAGAAGTGGATGGAAGGGTCCAGCTCTCCTCAACACGCGAGTTCCTCGATCCAGGACGCGATGTTCAGCCAATTGTATACCCCAATTCCTGATCCTGAGCTTCCACTGCCTCCAAGGTGCTCGTAGGTCTTGCCAATCAACCGCAAAACTGATTGTTGAGCAACTGGGCTCAGTCGCCATGGCTCTTCTGGAATTCCCGGTGAGTTAGCCGGCAGAGGGTCCTTGCCAGTGCTTGCTGCAGGGACAACACAAAACCATGTCAAGGCACGTTTATGTTTTCTCGGCCTCAGCTCAACCGGCGTCTGAAACAAACCTATCGTTCCTTGCATGTGCCCGGGTATCCTAACAGTCTGGCAGAGATCCGCTGGTGCAGGGGCTTGCGAACCCAAAGTCTGCCCCAAGTTCTGATGCCAGTTCTCGTGCTCTCCAAGCACTGCTGCCCTAGCTTCCAGAAATCGCAAGTACTGCGAAGCACTACAATGGCTCTGACAGCAGGATCCTGCAATGCCACCGTCTTGGTAACAATGTACTTGTGGTAGGGCCCCTTCCAGTCCACGCTTTTGGCTGTATGGCCATCAGCTTGCACATAAAGGAGACCAACCAGCGCCCCATGCGGCAGGTCTTCTTCCGCCGGGGCTGAAGGCCACTCCCCCTGAAGCTGCAAAGCTTCGGAACTCTCTGGATCCGGATCTTCGCAGGCCACGTGAAGCGCATACCTCAGGTGGAGACGTGAGCTCACAAAGTCTTGGAAGCGTTGTGAGCATTTTTGAACCTGGCCCTTGCAGTAGGCTCCACAAGCAAGTTCTTGGGATTGCATGCCACCCCCTCTCGAGCTATACCCATATCGGTAACGAATGGCCTGAAGAAAGGGAAACTCAGGGTGATTAGTGATTAGTGCCTCATCAGATGTTCGGTGGGGTGGCATTCAATCCCATGGCTAATGGCTAATGCGTGAGGGAGGCACCAACCATCAGGAAACTTTGCCCTGCGAAAAACGTAGCTGCGGCGTCCCACCAGAATGGCCAAGGCCAGCTGCGCAGCCTTTACGGTGAGGCAGTCCGTCACCTGCTTCGGGGACTGTGCTGCGCAAGGTCGCCAGCCGAGCTCCGGCTGGCAGCGGCAGCAACTCCAGCGGCCATCTAGGTCTTTGAAGCCGCCTGCAAAACCCCAAGGAGCACACACTTCTTTCACTCTTTCACTTCACAGCATTTCACAGCCAGGTGCTCAGGCCACAACTCTGAGGATCGGTCATGCGATGACAAGCCTTCCGCGCGTACATGAGAAAGATCAACATATGACCAATGGCACATGCGCTCAGATGCCTCGCACTCTTTCGGCTGTAAACCGGCTGCAGGATCCTGAAACCTGATCTGAGGAAAGCGGCCTTGCAGAAAGCAAGGCAGGCCAGTCGGTGCTCAAAGCAAGTGGACAGCTTTCAAGCCTCGCATGGAGCTTAGTAGGTCGACCTCACCTTCACCTGCAGTCAAAGACGAACTCGTCAAAATGGGCCATGGTCCCAGAGATCCCCAGAGTGACAGCCTCGGGAGCCCCAAACGTTGATGCTGATGCTTGGCCCATCAGAGTCCATGGATGGAGGAACCTGAGTTCAGAGACTGTTGAGAAAGTACATGTTTAAAACAGCACGGGAGCTGTGATGGGGCGGGCACCCCATGACGCCAACAACCGTTGGTGGCCTTGGACAATAAGCCATCCTCTTCTGACTCGGAATCACTAAGGCTCCGCCTGCCCGAAAACATGGACGTCACCGTTTCGCTGTGGAACAGCAAACTGCACCTGCAAAACTGAAAGCAGGTACAAGTAGCTAATGCCTTTTCAATCAGGCTGCAATACGGTGAGGGTCGGTTGCCTTGTGGCCTTCCCTGTGCTCAAAGACAAGCTGGCGCGCCTGCATCATTGTCTATTGCGTCACGATCTCCATCCACTATGCTTCATCCTGCCTCCCCAAATGATACCCCGATGCTGAAGTCTATCTTACCCTCTGTCTTTGAGTACCTGCAGCTGTCAGACCCCAAAACTGCAAACGAAGGGCCAACTAAGCTTCGGACTCGTCAAAATGAAGGTTGCAGAAGTCGCCGCCGTGTCTGTACCTGCCGGAGTTTGCAGGCCGCCCCACAACGGAACAGGCAGGTCCTGCGCGATGGGGCACAGGCTGGCCAGGCAGCGGACCTCGCAAACTACGTTCGACTTCTGTTGGGAGATTGCCTGCGAGTTGGCCTGCGGCCTCTCCGCCTCTATTGGATTTCTCGTTTTGCTTGCGCCATGACTGAAACCTCAAGGCCTTTGGCCATTTGAGATGCCTGTCTGCTGTACTGGAAGCGCTTCATCTTGGAAGGACTGTCGGTAGCCAGGAATCAGCAGCCCCATCAATCCTGCCATATGGGCTTGTGTGCTCAAGCTCCTCAATCATCCAAATTTGAATGTCCTTGCTGCTTCTACCCAGCATCAGCTGACTTGCTTGGCCAAATGCTGACTCAAGACTCAACCACTCTGCCACCATGGGACACGACGCCTCCGAGATCTCCAAAAGCTCCAGGTCTGGTGCCACCAACCCAGGGCCTGACAGAAGCCTTGCCAAGGCAACCAGTCCAGCGCCTACACCGCAGAGGCTCAAATTCCGCAGCCACGATGCCTGCTGCACAAAAGCCACCAGCAGCGCTGGTGATACCATGTTGCCCCCTAGCACCGCACGAGTGAGGACAGGTGAGGTGAGAAGGATCGCCGCTAGGTCTTTCTCAGGAAGGCAGGTTGAAGACACATCCAGAAGATCTAAAGAACCAAAGCCAAATGATTGAATGCTCTTGCAGCTTGTGGACCCCAAGTTCAAGACCTTCAATTGCTGTCCCCCTCCCTGCACACCTTCAAGCCCGGGGTTGTCGAAAAGCCATAGGTAATGAAGATCAAAGAGGTTGGACAAGTCCATGAATCCAACAAGACCGCAGCCAGGCAAGCGCAGCTTCGCCAACTTTGCCGGCAGCTTCAAACCATCAATTTGACCAATTTGGCACTGCGCATTGCCCTCAAGCAGAAGTTCTTGAAGATTCCAGCACAGTGACGACAGAGCGGTCAAAACACCGGCACCGTTGAACACGAAGCTATCCAAACTTAGCTTCACCAGCGTCGAACCGAGGCTTCTTGCTAGGAGCATTACCCCCTCGTCTGTGATATGCTGCTCGCTGTTGTAGGACCAAAGCTGGATTCGCGACAGATGAGGCTGGCAGGCCAGCATGGAAAGGAGGTCGTCATCCAGCGGAATATCTTGGAAAGAAACATCTCTCAGGCTTTCCATCTCCAGGAGCGAGCCTAAGAGTTCTGTGCGGGAAGCTCCTATCCAATTTATGTGCCGAGATGAATGTAGCACTTCAAGATGTGGGCATCTGTCTGAGAGGTGCACAACAACCCGTTCAGTCAGATGTTCACACCCTACTCCCCGAAACTCGCGCAGTGATGCTGGCGCATGCGCCCATGGCGCGTCACTGAACTCAGCTGCCCAGCTCACATCCAATGATCGTAGCATCAACTTCTTGAAAACCGAATGCAGCACCGAGTCTGTCAAAAGCGGGCATTCGCGTAGGTGCAAAGCTTGCAACATAGACAAATAAGTTGATGCAGATGTCAACTGGTAGCTTGTGATGAGAAGCGTGTTTAGGCAAAGGTCGGCCAGATTGGGGCATGCACGTGCCAGCCCGCTTAGATTACTAACCTTTCCGTTGCCGGACAGGTCCAGACTGTGCAGCTTTTGCAGAAAACCAGAAATGAAGTCGAACGCGGATCGGCAAGTGACTGAAAGGGATTGCCAATGTCTGAGGTCGATGGCATTTACACATTTCCACAGCAGCCAGTCATCAAGATATTGGAGGACACTCATGCTGCCGCCATGGCAATGGTTCAGACTGGCTCATGCAAGATGTCATGATCTTCGCAACGCAGGCCGACACTCTTTGGACTGGACTCTGCAACGAGCCAGAGGCTGCCTTTTGAGATTCATGCAGCTTAATCTGGCTTAGCTGTCTTAGCCTGCTTAGCGCTGAACTAGGGCATGCTGGGGCCAGGACTGGCCGAACACTGAAGACCTTCATGGCCGAGTGTCTGAATGCAATACGGGCAGAGCTGCATCTCCGACCTCTACAACGTGATCCAGGAGTGCATGAAGAGTCGGCGCTTTGGCCAGAACATCAGCAGACACAGGGCAGAGGTGTCCTGAGCGGTCACAAAATACTGAGGGAGACTCGCCTGGACTTGCTCCTGCAGCCAAGGTTCGCGAGAAGGGCAGCCCAGAGTCCAGCCAAGCTGCGCGAAACGTCAACTCCTGACAAAGCCCATTGCAGCTACCTTCCTTTGGGCTCCAGCTCTGGTATGTGCGTCTGCTCCATCCCAAAATGAGGGTAACCGCCCAAAACGTATTCATTGATCGGCCTACTTGGCAAGTCTTCAAGTCCCATTCCAAGATATTTTGACCGCCAACGGCCCTGGTGAACCTAGAAAGTTGGTCCTGCACCTCCTTCGACATACGATAGAAGCTCCAAATACAAAACTGATTACGTCACAAGCTTACGAACCTTACTGTCGAGCTCGCGCAGGACCTGTGGCCCATCAAAGTTGACAGCTCAATCATAATAAAGCCAGTCAATGCGACTGGACATGCACCTTGTGCCTGGCATTTCCTCGCCGGCACTTGGAGCATCACACCTGCTTCACGTCCTGTGCTGCGGTCTAGTACGTATGAGACCTCAGCACAATCAACTTTGCAAGCTGCAGGCCATTCCTAAGAAAGATCGAAGAGCTCTGCAGCTTGCATTAGATGATTATCAAAGACTGCGCAGCCCCAGCTTCGTTCCCGCAACGCAGCCAGCATGGTGTAGCTGCTTGAACGCACAGCTTAGAACAAACCACAGAAGCATCGTGTTACCGCTCAACCTTGGAGGGCGCACGCGAAGGCTTTTTTTTGTTTTGGAAGGGGGGGGGCGCAATTACTATTTCCGCCAGTAAGTACTAGTCCTACTACGACCACGACCCCGACGACCACCACTACTACTGCTACTACTACTACTACTACTACTACTAGTACTACTACTACTACCACTACTACTATCACTAGCATCTGGCCAGGGGGCCGACTACTACGCCACTT